AAAAAAAGAAGGATTAGATTTATTAGCCTGAACAAATATCTTCATTTTCATTCTCCTCGTCATGCAACCGGACGAAAGAATTGCAAGGCGAGTTTTGAGCTGTCACGCCACCTGTACACTCGCTGTCCAGCTGGCTCCCGAACAGAAATGACATGGACATGGGATTATAAGTCGAGCTAGCCTTTTTCAAACCCTGTATAGCGTTTATTGCAGCAAGGGTGCTCTTGTATATGCCCACTGTTTTTTCTTCCCCAAACGATAATGCCGATTCTAAGGGCGTGTTTGGCAAGTCGGCAGGAGGTATAGCAGCTGCTATTTGATCCTGAACGAGAGGATTTGATTCGATCACCTCTGGTTCGATTGGGAATAGGATCTCGAGTTTCTCTTCACACTCGCGGACTAATCGTGTGAGTGGTTGAGTCGTGAAGAATGGCTGGTGGAAGGCGAGACGGGTGAAAGGGAAGCTCAGCAAGTCTCCTGTTCGTTTGTCGTATTTCTTCAAAATTTTTATAAGGCCTAGCCGAAAAATCCCGAAAAAAAAAAATAAAATAAAATAAAATTATCAGCAACCATAGAGCCAGAATTGGTTCATCAACTAAAATCAAATGTTTAGGTGCAATTTGTAACTCCAATGGATATTTGGAACTTTCTCCTTATTAAACTAGACCTTAGGGATATTTTTCTTAACTCAAACAAAACTAGCTTATTAGAATACAGGAAGCTTAAGCTAGCTTATTTGGTTAGAAAACATAGCCTCAATCTTTTCGACTTGAAACCCAAGAACCGTGTGAATGATAAATGGATCTTTTCAAAGAACCGATAATCACTAGATACAAAAAGAAAGAAACAGAAAGTAGCTTTCTTTTTACCTGCGAAGTTGAGGGAGCTGTAGCTTTTGAGAAGAACCATCTCTCCATGAATGGCGACAAAGTCTTTGCGTATCTTCATCATTTCTTCACTAAACTCAGTCTCCTTCACTCGCTCAATCCTTTCCTTAAGTGCCTGAAAACGATAAACTGAGAAATGAAATTCCCTGAGTTGGAACCTTTACCTGGATTAGTCACAATTAACTCAGTGTGATTATACAATATAAATTACAATCAATTCTTATAATAAAGCTTGATATCTTATGCGACATGAAAGAAACAATTCCATAAACTGAGAGTAAATTATAACCTGAACGGGTACGGAAGTTCAATACTACTGTATTAGAAACATGTTATAAGATCATAAGAGTTGACCGTGCTTGATCAACGGGCCTTTATATTGACTTTACGGGTCATTTGGCTTCAGGAACTCGGGCCATTTAATTAAATGGTAAATACAACTGAATATGCCGAAGATATTCTTCAAACTGTTGAGTTTTAGAAAATGGTGTCACAGTAAAGAAAAAAAAAAAAACTTAACCAGTTGTTCAATACGATGATCGAAGACCTAATATAGCCGAAGTGATTACATCAAGCACGTGAAACAAAGAAAACATTAAATCCCTTAGCCTGAGGTTCCCTCGGCTTTGCCTCGGTTTGAAATCATTGCAGTCACAATAATAAAAGCTTAAAAGAACTACCTGCGCTTTTTGTGATTACATCAAGCACGTGAAACAAAGAAAACATTAAATCCCTTAGCCTGAAGTTCCCCTGGTTTGCCTCGGTTTGAAATCATTGCAGTCACAATAATAAAAGCTTAAGAGCACTACCTGTGCTTTTTGTGAATGTAAATTATTAACATGTTATCAATACTCCATGAATTTAAATCTATATTGGCACATCTGGAGACTATATACAATCATGCGAAGCACGATTCCTGTTAGCATGATGAATTCAAAGTATTCTCATTTTTCCACCATATTAATCCCCAAAACTTAGCAAGATTAATTCGAAGTATTCACATTTTCCACCATTATTCAACCCTAAAACATAGCATAGCACGTTGAATTCAATGTATTCTGATTTTTCCATCACATTCAACAATTCATAAAACAGGAAATTACAAATCTCAGGTTGTTTTTCGACAAGATTGCATCTTCTAATCAAAGCAAATATTCACTCGCACACACATCAAAATTTGCAACCAATTACACGCCTCAAGAAAAGAGAAGGGGGAAAAAAAAAGGAAGAGCAGCACATAATCAATCAGACACACGAGAACTCTAGAGAAGGGAAGAGAGGGAAAAAAAACCTGGAAGCGGATTATAAACTCCTCCTCCTTCTCGACGTAGAAATCGTTGAACTTCTCCAGCTCCTCGTAGAGAATCGCCACGAACCAGCCCTGAAGCGCCGGAAGCCGACGCGCGTCCCGCGGCAGATCGACGGCGACGGCGGCGGCCGGATAATGCTTGAGCAGCTTCTTCAACAGCTTGTAGCACAGGAACTTGTCCCTCCACTCGGGCAGGGTTTTCTCCAGGTGGATCCTGAACTCCTTCCCAAATTTCATATGCAATTTTTTTTTTCGAAATCTACTTGGTAATTAAGGTGAATTTGATTCGACAAGTTACAGAGGATAAACACGAATTTGAAAGGGGAATAAAATGTGGAAATGTGTTGAACAAAAAAGGGTGAGCTTTGAGATATGGGAATGTGCTTTTGGAATCTAATTTTGATCTTGAGACAGACATGAATATAATTTGAGGGGTTTCATATTTGTATAATTTATTTACATGAAAATTGTTTGCTTATATTTGTGATTTACCATTTTGATCTTTGAGATATAGTACGCGCTAGATTTGTTGGTCTCGATCAATAATAAATGTTTAATTTAGCAATTGAGATTCAAATTAAATAAAATTTGACCATAATTTAAGCACAATTCCTTCTCCCAATACACTTGAAACTGAACAACTAAAACAAACTTAGGAGGTAGATTATATGACTCAAAATGTTGTAGATTATATTGTTTATCTTAAATTTAATCATATTCCAGTCAATCAGAATTGTGTGTTATGTTTTATCTCGTTTCAGTGTTGTTTATATGTTGTTTATCTTATGTATATATACAGTATGTCTGAACATATTTCCACGATTAACTTCACTAACTCAATTTTCTTAGATAACATGGACGCTATATTATACTAAATATATTCATAAATTAAACAACTCAGTTACATCGATATTTTTTTATTTTTTTTACAATAAACGAGATTAAAAAGTTATGAACATATTAGATTTGACGAAACTGTGGATAAAGAAACGGATTTGTGGGGCATATTGATGGCATGATTTTTATTCTCAATCGCGATTCACCGCCCCCTATTACTACTCACC